TGATTGGTTAGTCTACTTCGACAGCTTCACAAATCATTTAAGATGCCTTTTGGAATGAAAATGAAACTAGCATCATAGCTCCATTAGCAAATTGGTCATCCCCTTGTGAGAACAGAGGGTGAAGAGAGATTATCCCTTATCTTTAGTTTGTACTTGCTGACTCATTTCAAACAGACAAAAAGCAGCCTTGGAAGTTTCTCTGCATTCTTTTTTCCATGATAAAATAATTATAATAAATTGAATCTTCAATTCAGTGAGTCTCGAATGTGACATGTCGTGGCACCGCCAAGTCAACTGTTGACTTTTATAGTCTTTTCATCTGAAACATTTTTTTTATTATTTTAATTTTCTTTTCCTGGTTATGAAAGTGTTAATTGAATCATGGGAGGACATCTTATTGGATACCATTTCGTTTTTCTGCAGCCTGAGATATGGTAAAAATTATCATCTCTTCCTTCTGCTTAATCTTTCTGGCTTTCTCCACAGTGCTTGGAGAACCCAAAGATACCTGCAAAAAATTGAAGTGTGGAGATAAAGGCCCAGCTGTCCATTTCCCTTTCAGCCTCAAAGGCAGGCACCCAGATCACTGTGTCTTTCCTGGGTTTGTTCTGTCATGCAATGAGAAGCATGAAACAATTCTTGACCTTCCAATTCCATTCAAATTCCCAGTTAAAAGCATAGATTATAAGGCTCAGGCAATCCAATTATATGATCCAGAAAGCTGTCTTCTGGTGAAGCTTTTGAAAGTCTTCAACAAGTCAATCTCTCCCTTCCACTTCTCAAAAGATTTCATGTATGATATTACCTTATTCAATTGTTCCTTAGCTGAGAGGCAATTAGATGAACCAGTCCCCTGCTTCAGTGGCCCTGGCTACCAAGTTTATTCTGTTGCTTCTTCCTACAGCATTGAGAACTTGGCCCTACTGTCTTGTAGAAAGATGTATAATTTGTCATCAGTTCCATATTTTTCAGACAAGCCCGCCAATCTTTATTTGGAGTGGTCTGAACCAAATTGTGGACAGTGTGAGGCAATGGGAAAGATGTGTAGATTGAAGAATAATGGCACCAAAAGTGAAATTGAATGTGTGGACTTCAGTAAAGCAGGTTCACATATATTTAACTTATTACAGATTCTTAATATTCTGCTTACTACTAGTCACTTTTTGCTTGCTTACTTGGAAATTGAGAGCAGAGTTGCAGCATTATTTATTGGCTTTTTATCGCAAAACGTCTCAGCATTATTTATTGGCTTTTTATCGCAAAACGTCTCTGAGGTTGATGAATCTATCAAGTTGTGTCCTTCCTTTTTTTTTTTTTTTGGTGTTCGTGGTCCTCGAGGTTAACTTGGCTAATGTATATTTAATTGGTTCATATATATTTGAATTGTTACAGATTCTTAATATTCTGCTATACTAGTCAATTATCTGCAGATGCAAATAATACAATGCATTCATGAAAGGAGATATTATCATTTGCAATCCACTTTTTGCTTACTTATTGGGAAGTTTAGAGCAAAGTAGCAGCACTGTTTATTTAAAGGATATTTCCCAAGCAATAGCTCATTCTAATTACTTAGTTTGACAGTGTATTTTTTTTTTTCAGGTACAAAAAGGAAATGGGTGGCTACAGGTGAGTTGTTTAATTGGAGTTGCAGTTTGTTTCATTTGTATATATGAGATCGTGGTGATATTTACAAAGGATTCCCTTGCAGGTGCATCCCTGGGTTCATTTTTTGTGCTACTCCTTGTCGTTGCGGCCTATCATGTCTATAGTTCTGACACAAAAGAAAAGGAGAATCAATTAGAGATTGAAAGATTTTTAGACGATTACAGAGCTCTCAAACCTAGCAGATATTCATATGCAGATATTAGGAGGATTACAAATGACTTCAACGACAAGTTAGGGGAAGGAGCCTACGGCACTGTTTATAAAGGAAAGCTTTCTTCTGAACTCTTTGTTGCTGTGAAAGTCCTCAATAGTTCTAAGGGAGATGGGGAAGAGTTCATCAATGAAGTGAGAACAATTGGTCATATCCACCATGTCAATGTCATTCGCTTGGTTGGCTTTTGCGCTGATGGATTTAGACGAGCTCTTGTTTATGAGTTCTTACCATATGGTTCACTGCAGGATTTCATTTCATCACCAGACAATAAGAACAGTTTCCTTGGTTGGGATAAGATACAAGATATTGCTCTAGCCATAGCCAAAGGAATTGAATATCTTCACCAAGGATGCTATCAGCGAATCCTCCATTTTGACATTAAACCTCATAACATTTTGCTGGACCACAACCTCACTCCAAAGATTTCTGATTTTGGTTTAGCCAAGTTATGTTCCAAGGATCAAAGCATAGTGTCAATGACTACAGCTAGGGGCACCATGGGCTACATTGCACCTGAAGTGTTTTCCAGGAACTTTGGAAATGTGTCCTATAAGTCAGATGTGCATGTGTATAGTTTTGGAATGCTACTGCTCGAGATGGTAGGAGGAAGGAAGAATGTCAGTTCAGCAACGGAGAACACAATTGAAATCTACTATCCCGAATGGATTTATAATCTTCTAGAAGAAGGAGATGACCTACGCATCCATATCAGTGAAGAAGGAGAAGGTAAAATTCCAAAGAAACTTGCAATTGTAGGGCTCTGGTGCATCCAATGGCATCCAGTGAATCGCCCTTCAATGAAAGCCGTGGTTCAGATGTTGGAAGGAGGAGAAAGCTTAACCATGCCTCCCAATCCCTTTGCCTCTACAGGTGCTGCAGGAACCAATGCAAGTACGGCTGCAAGAAATCTGAACATTCAGTTACAAGCAATTCCTGAGTTGGAGTAACATGTGTACTTATACATTACATCATTACATGTAAACACACTTATGTATGCAATCAAGAATGATCATATAGTTCTTGATGTTTGTACTTGACCAGCACATGCCTCATGGTCCAGCACTACATAGAATTTAGAAATAGGGGCGTTTCAATGACCCTAACATAGTAACACTGGACCTATTGCTACCAAACAATCACTGGCTGCCAAATCCAATAATATGCATCACTGGAGCACATAAACTATTGTGTAACAATCTTGCTTCAAGTTTGAAAATGACAGTCCTTCACCAGCTTCCATAAAATTTCTGTTGTCCTGCTTGCTTCATCATGTGATCCTTGAAGTTTCAAAGTTCCCCAATAATGTGTCTTGCAGAAATATTGTTCTTCTAGTATTTTAGAGTGTATCTTTGCATTGGAGATGGAAGCTTAACATACAAGTGTTTAAAAATCTCGACCCTCCCTGCGCAACCCCAGTTGATTGAGAGATTAATTTTGAGAGGGTGGTGGGGTTGGGATGTTGAACCATCAGCGACTACTTTCTAAAATGCCTAGAAAGGCAACCATTGAACCTGTAAAAAAAAAAAAATTGAAATACGGGGAAAGATTGAACTTTGTTTTTTGATTCCTCGTTTTGCTGTTCTCTAGCTTCAACGACCTTTGTCCTCTTCCATTAGAAAGATTTCATCACGAAGGTCAATTAATAGACACAATTTCAATTGAGTTGACCGTCGGAGAGTCTTTGATGAAAAACAGAAGTAACTGGTGAAGGTAAATTTTAAAATGGGGTCAATTAAAGCTCACATCATTGTGGTTTGGGCGTGCACACACTGATTCATGTCTCTTCAAACTTGGAAAACAAAAAGTTATACCTCATTACTGACACTCTGAACACCATTTTCAGCTTTGTAAACAAGTCTATTATAAATGTGGTCTACAAATGTGATACGCTCTGTTTCTTTTTTGTTCAAAACGGCAGATTCCATACTAGTGATCATCACCAAGCTAGTTAACAGAGTCTGGGGTTTCAAAAAGAAAAAGGAAAAAAAATAGAGTCCATGCCTATTTGATCATGACCTAGCTGAAAAGGTCCATGTTAGCTCCAAGTTAGAACATGCCGGATTTGGACTATTTTGATGATCGCTTATCAGCATCTGTTGTGGACTCATATTAGAGGCTTGGGAGGCATCTGTAGGTATTCAACATGCCCTTCAAGCATCTCTATGACTTTTTTCATTGATGGACGATCACTTGGTTTTCATTGTATTAGAAAATTAGTTAAATACCCATTTCTAGACATAAAACTATAAAAATACCCTATACTATTTAAGGTTAATTACAGTTTGGTACTCAGAAGTTGTACCATTAAGGCATATTAGTCCATATCTTTTCAATTTTAACAATCACGTACCCTTAGTTTGTAAATTTTTTGCAATGTGGTTCCGCCGTTAGGGTTTCTGTAAATTTTAACAATCACGTACCCATAGTGCCACGTAGGCAACTAACGGAGAGATTTAACGGAAACCCTAATGGCAGAACCACATTGCAAAAAATTTACAAATTAAGGGTATGTGATTGTTAAAATTGAAAAGATAGGGACTAACATGCCTTAAGGGTACAACTTCAGGGTACCATACTGTAATTAACCCTACTATTTAATGTATATAAACACACCCAAAATAAACCCAAAAATCGACAGCTGTATATTTTTTAATTTAATTATTAAGATGAAATACCTTTATTACCCTTTTAAGATTGTGAGGTTGTCTTCGCATGAGAGGGTGTAAAATGACACGACGCAGTTGGTTGGATCAATGTTGAGTCGAAATGGGTAGCTTATGTTGCGGATGCTGCCGCAGGATGAAGGAGGGCAGACACGACCGATAGTTTTCTCGTTGGAAGCTTCAGAGGATGAGGTGATGGCGAGAAGAGATAGAATTAGAAACCATGAAGAAGAGGATGTTTGAGTTTCCATGGAGAGGGAGGGAGATAAGAGTTCATCTGTGAGTAGATTTTCGGCATGGCAATGAGTAATGAACAAGTTGTAATTTTATAATAGGCAAAAGGTCACTTTGGGTTCCTGTAGTTTTTCACTTTTACTACTTGGTCTCTGTCGTTTCAATTTGGTCAATTTTGTCCCTGTACTTTCAATTTTGAGCAATTTAAGGACAAATTCCAATTTCTGTCAAAATAGAGCAACTGCGGTTAATTGTTGAGGGGCATTTCGGTCCATAAACAAAGGATGTAAATATTTTTTTTTTAAAAAATAACAAAGAAAAGGAGGTGGTCAACTGCCTAGCCTTAGCCGCATCCCGGCGACTGAGTCTTCAACAATGGCGGAGGAGGTCCTTCTAGATCTCTCAACATCTCTTGGTTCTCCCCATCCACCTCAACCTCTAGATCTCTCAACACCTCTCTCAACAATGGCAGTGTTCGTTTGTGTCATGAACATCAACTGTGAGGTGGTCCTTCTAGAGCTCTCTGATAAATTGTTTGATGCTAAATATGAAAGCTTTCCAGGTAGGAAAAATAGATTCCAAGTCTATGGCCATCTTAACAAAATCTCACCCAAGTCAGTCTGTTTTTCCAGCAAACACTTGTTGTAGGATAGAGCAGCAATCTTGATGATTTCAACATTGGTAGCTTCTGGCAATACTCATTACCCAGCAACTCATGCAAAGTAAACTTTAGCCACTCTGATTCCTGGATAGATAGATAAATACATATCATTAAATCAAAACAATCAAATAAAAAACAATCTAAATTTAATTTCTATAAATTAAAAGAAGAAATTGTACCTCCAAGGCCTTGAAAGGGACCAACCAGCCAGTGCTCTAGGACCACAAGGTCGTGAACTTGGGCATCTGGGTGTCTCCCAGGTCATCCCTTATCTTTAGTTTGTACTTGCTGACTCATCATTTCAAACAGACAAACAGCAGCCTTGGAAGTTTCTCTGTATTCTACTTTCCATGATAAAATAATTATAATAAATTGAATCTTCAATTCAGTGAGTCTCGAATGTGACATGTCGTGGCACCGCCGAGTCAACTGTTGACTTTTATAGTCTTTTCATCCCAAACATTTTTTTCATTATTTTAATTTTCTTTTCCTGGTTATTAAAGTGTTAATTGAATCATGGAAGGACATCTTATTGGATTCCATTTCGTTTTTCTGCAGCCTTAGATATGGTAAAAATTATCGTCTCTTCCTTCTGCTTAATCTTTCTGGCTTTCTCCACAGTGCTTGGAGAACCCCAAGATACCTGCGAAAAATTGAAGTGTGGAGATAAAGGCCCAGCTGTCCATTTCCCTTTCAGCCTCAAAGGCAGGCACCCAGATCACTGTGTCTTTCCTGGGTTTGTTCTGTCATGCAATGAGAAGCATGAAACAATTCTTGACCTTCCAATTCCATTCAAATTCGCAGTCAAAAGCATAGATTATAAGGCTCAGGCAGTCCAATTATATGATCCAGAAAGCTGTCTTCTGGTGAAGCTTTTGAAAGTCTTCAACAAGTCAATCTCTCCCTTCCACTTCTCAAAAGATTTCATGTATGATATTACCTTATTCAATTGTTCCTTAGCTGAGAGGCAATTAGATGAACCAGTCCCCTGCTTCAGTGGCCCTGGCTACCAAGTTTATTCTGTTGCTTCTTCCTACAGCATTGAGGTCTTGCCCCTACTGTCTTGTACAAAGATGTATAATCTCTCATCAGTTCCATATTGGTCATACAAGCTTCTTCTGAACTCTTTGTTGCTGTGAAAGTCCTCAATAGTTCTAAGGGAGATGGGGAAGAGTTCATCAATGAAGTGGGAACAATGGGTCATATCCACCATGTCAATGTCGTTCGCTTCGTTGGCTTTTGCGCTGATGGATTTAGACGAGCTCTTGTTTATGAGTTCTTACCAAATGGTTCACTGCAGGATTTCATTTCTTCACCAGACAATAAGAACAGTTTCCTTGGTTGGGATAAGATGCAAGATATTGCTCTAGCCATAGCCAAAGGAATTGAATATCTTCACCAAGGATGCGATCAGCGAATCCTCCATTTCGACATCAAACCTCATAACGTTTTGCTAGACCACAACTTCACTCCAAAGATTTCTGATTTTGGTTTAGCCAAGTTATGTTCCAAGGATCAAAGCATAGTGTCAATGACTACAGCTAGGGGCACCATGGGCTACATTGCACCTGAAGTGTTCTCCAGGAACTTTGGAAATGTATCCTATAAGTCAGATGTGTATAGTTTTGGAATGCTACTGCTTGAGATGGTAGGAGGAAGGAAGAATGTCGGTTCAGCCACGGAGAACACAAATGAAATCTACTATCCCCAATGGATTTATAATCTTCTAGAAGAAGGAGATGATCTACGCATCCATATCGGTGAAGAAGGAGAACGTAAAATTCCAAAGAAACTTGCAACTGTAGGGCTCTGGTGCATCCAATGGCATCCAGTGGATCGCCCTTCAATGAAAGCCGTGGTTCAGATGTTGGAAGGAGGAGAAAGCTTAACCATGCCTCCCAATCCCTTTGCCTCTACAGGTGCTGCAGGAACCAATGCAAGTACGGCTGCAAGAAATCTAAACATTCAGTTACAAGCAATTCCTGAGTTGGAGTAACACGCGTAGTTATACATTACATCATTACATGTAAACACACTTATGTATGCAATCAATTATGATCATATAGTTCTTGATGTTTGTACTTGACCAGCACATGCCTCATGGTCCAGCATTACATAGAATTTAGAAGTAGGGGCGTTTCAATGACCCTAACATTCGACCTATTGCTACCACACAATCACTGGCTGCCAAATCCAATATTATGCATCACTTGTGCACATAAACTATTGTGTAACAATCTTGCTTCAAGTTTTAACATGACAGTCCACCAGCTTCCATAAATTGCCGTTGTCCCGCTTGCTTCATCATGTGATCCTTGAAGTTTCAAAGTTCCCCAATAGTGTGTCTTGCAGAAATATTGTTCTTCTAGTATTTAAGAGAGTATCTTTGCGTTGGAGATGGAAGCCTAACATACAAGTGTTTAAAAAATCTCGGCCCTCTCCGCGCAACCCCAGTTGATTGAGAGATTAATTTTGAGATGGTGGTGGGGTTGGGATGTTGAATCATCAGCGACTACTTTCTAAAATGTCTAGAAAGGCAACCATTGAACCTTTCTTTTTATTTATTTTTTATTTTAATGAAATAGGGGGAAAGATTGAACTTTCTTTTTTGACTCCTCGTTTTGCAGTTCTCTAGCTTCCATGACCTTTGGCCTCTTCCATTAGAAAGATTTCATCACGAAGGTCAATTAATAGACACAATTTCAATTGAGTTGACCGTCGGAGAGTCTTTGGTGAAAAACAGAAGCAACTGGTGAAGGTAAATTTTAAAATGGGGTCAATTGAAGCTCACATCATTGTGGTTTGGGCGTGCACACACTGATTCATGTCTCTTCAAACTTGGAAAACAAAAAGTTATACCTCATTACTCTGACACTCTGAACACCATTTTCGCCTTGTACGAAACAAGTCTATTATAAATGTGGTCTACAAATGTGATACGCTCTGTTTGTTTTTTGTTCAAAACGGCAGATTCCATACTAGTTGATCATCACCAAGCCAGTTAACAGAGTCTAGGGTTTCAAAAAGGAAAAAAAAAAACAAAGTCCATGCCTGCATCTGTTGTGGACACATAAAAGGCTTGGGAGGCATCTGTAGGTATTCAACATGCCCTTCAAGCATCTCTATGACTTTTTTCATTGATGGACGATCACTTGGTTTCAATTGTATACACCATAAGGCTGTTATGACCATCTTTCTTATTATTTTCATTTCATCTTCATTGACATCACCCATCTCCAAGTCCTTTCCCTCGATATATTGATCGAACACCCAAGAAGGGAAGTAAATTTGGCTTGAATGCTCTGCCAAGGCATTCAAGTTCTTCCTTCTGCTTGCCATCTCCATCAGCAACATTCCAAAACTGTAGACATCGGCTTTGTATGAAACACCTCCAAGATTTTTGTAGAACAACTCAGGAGCCATATATCCCAATGTTCCCCTAGCTGCCGTCATAGAGACAACGCTGTTATCTGTTGGATATAGTTTTGCTAGCCCAAAGTCAGAAATCTTTGGGTTGAAATTCTCGTCAAGAAGAATGTTGTGAGGCTTGATATCAAAATGCAGAATTTGCATGTCACAACCTTCATGCAGATATTCAATCCCTCAAGCCACTCCAAGAGAAATCGCTTACATTTTATCGCAACTTAAAGGCATACTTCCTTCTTTTGAATAAATATATTTATCTAGTGACCCATTGGGCATGAAATTGTAAACTAGAGAGCGCTTTGATCCCTCCACACAATAACCAACAAGTCGCACCACATTAACATGGTGAATCCTCCCAATTGTAGCTATCTCGCTCATGAAATCTTGCCCATTAGCTTTAGACTTGCCCAAAATCTTAATTGCTCCAAAAAGACCACTGCGCAAATTTCCTTTAAATACAATGCCAAAGCCACCTTCACCCAGTTTGTCCTAGAATCTACCAGTCATCTTCTTAATGTCTGAGTAAGAGTACCTTATTGGGATGAAGTTGTTATCAGCCTGCAGAAAATCTTCTATGGTGCTATACATTGACAATTTCCTTCTCCGCCATTTATAGATCAAGAGCCAAATATAAATTTCAAAATAACAAGTCCTGCGCAGTAACATTACTAATTAATCATGAGTAAATGAACTTTTTTTGGTGCTCTATATCCACAGATTTCAAAAGGCACCGGATATATGCCCTTACCTATGTCAATAAAAGTGCACAGTATCAATCTACCTCCTGCAAAAAATACAATAAAAGTGAACAGTATCAAGAGACCTGAGGACGTTTGAGAAGTGCAAAGCCCAAATATAGTAAGATGATTAACTTTACACAGATTACCCGTTGGCCTTGCTTTTACTTTTGTTAGTGTGTGAGCTTGCTCTGAAATGAACAATGTGATGAGCACAAAATTAATACAAGTTTTATCCTTAAATTTATATTTGTTAGTATTTTCTTTTGTTTTATATAAATCTA